CGCAGGCGCTCTACCAGCGATCACACGAAACTTGCCCGCGCGTCGCTAGCAGCGGTTGCGACGGCGACCGTTTAAAGACGGGCGAACGAGGAAGAAAGGTAGGGCGGGGGAAAGATGCTGCCGCCGTCGGCGGCGCCCGCCCCCCCCCCACCGCGGAACATATTACGAATTACGAGCCGACAGAAGACGGAACACCGTAGGATCACAAATAGGCTCTACCGCTTCGATGCTCTGAGAGCTTGATACCTTGCTCCTTCGGCCGGAGTGTTCGTTGGAAATCCCTGAAACGTGTCGTTGTTCGTCCCGCTATTGCGTGAGGGCGAATCAAAACAGAGAAACTATGAACTCTATCCGCATCAGAATACTCTTTCCGCTCCCGACAATTCCCTCACGTCTCGGAGCGCGATCCGCATCGACGATCTCTCACACGGAGAGGGCGAATTCCGGAGGATCCGGAGGTTCATTGCGAATGCAGGATTCGCGATGAAAGGAGGAAAGATTCATTTTGCGAGAGCCCAGAGAAGCTATTATGGCTGTTTCGCTTCTTCTCTCATGGATCTGAATTCCCTTCGACCGACTCCATCTGACCTTTCTCGGAGTTTTCCTTATCTCCACGCTCCCCTCTCGGTATTAATATTAATGCAACACTTCTTTGCTCTCCCGCCACTGGAGTCCCCGTAGACTGCTCTCGCTTCACTCGAACAAACTCGATATTCGGGAGCACCTCCGGCCTCTATTAACACAGGGTAAAAACTCTCGTGTATTCCGGACCCCGGGAGTTGTAGGGACTCGAATCGGATTCGGCCGGAATTCCTCGTGGAAATATGGAAAATCGCGCTTATCTCCGAACACGGGTCGTCACGGTGGTGAGAGCCGAAAAACTGGGAAATTCTGATCGGTGAAGTCCAGCCGCATTCGATTGTACGAACGAGACAATTGCAGATTTGATCCGGGTGTCTCGATTTTTCGTCTGCACGCCAGTGCATGGAGCTCGGCGGAATGCGGGGGCGCTCCACCGCGAACGTGCAACCGGGCAGATTCAAGGATTGTGACAACCAGTCGTACTCCCTACCGAATCTCAATGGGAGCCTCGTGAATAATAAAATTCCCGACCCACGGTCAGTTCCGCTGACCCGCAAGGAAAACCGTCTTGAACTGACCTATGGATGCGCTGGGTGATTGATCGATTGACTGGCGGGCTGGATGAGCGACTAAGAGGTGCATCGCCGCGGTACGATGCACGGCATAGGTTGGGTAAAACATCGTCCGGGCAGTCGATTCCCCCTGCTTCTCTACGCTCCATACAACGTATGTATCGCTGCGGAGCCACTGACTGAGTCTTCGCTTGCTCGCTCGATCGCCTGCTCGATCGATGAGTCATGTACCGTCGTCCTTTCGGATTCCCTTCGAGGAGCGGCGAGATCGACGGGCGGTTGCCTTGCACTCCTCGGGCGAAAATGCAGCTCGCACCATGACAAGCTCTCCTGATCGCCACTACCTATCTCCTGCTTTCTGTGATACAATTAAGTCCCGAGTCGTCGGAATGCTGCGACACGCTGTCGTCACCTGAGTTGAGAACCAGAATCTAGCTCTCTGAGTGAGTGTCGTGAATCTTTCGGAGGCATCTCGAATCGACTCTCTCGATGGCCGTGGCAACCGTCAGATTCCGAGAATTCAGAATTCGAGGAGAGAAGCGAGGTCACAAAATCTTCACACGAAATTAAATACGAATAAGGATTGTGATCGTTTTCCTCCATAGATTCTCAGCGGCTCATCCGTTGCTCTCTGGTAGCCCCGCGTCTGAGATCACGCATTGGGTGCTTCTCAATATCGCTGGGACAGGTAACGAGCTCTACATTCCGAGTGAGCAGCTGAAAACGCGCTAGCTCCATCACGAGCACCGAGCCCGTGAAATGTATGGCTGTCGCATCGGAGTTCATCAGGGTAAAAGAACTCGGCCTCGAAAAAACTGAATAAGTGCTCGGAGGACAAGTCCGAGTCGGTCGAATGATGGCAGACGGCGACGAACGCTACAATTTCACAGCGTTTCGCAGACTGATGAGACTCCGCGCGAAGACGCTTTTTGACACTCTCTACGCTGACTGAACGTTCGCGGCTGAATGGCTGCCTAGCTGATTTACTGTCTGCACTAACCAAGCAGGCTCATTAGAGGACCCTTTCAGAGTCGCAATTTTTGATATGGTCATTAAGGTCGAATGAAGAGCGTTCCGTTGGAAAAACCGGTCCCCCGGGGCGATGGTTGGAGGGAGGCGAGAACATTTGCGGTGCACACAATTTGGTCGCAACGGTCGTCATGCTCGTGTAATAGACGCAGTGAAAAAGTTGCATCGTACGTTTCGGAAATCACTGAGGCGTCGAAGCATTTCGGCCGACGCCGTTCTCAAGGTCCTGTTCGTCGCTCCCATCTGCGAGGACGAGCCAAGTCTACGAATCCCCTACCGGCCGGAGACGAGTCCGCCGGCCGCTGTCTCCCTAAACCTACTCAACGCCTCCCCTCCAGGCGTTAGAGATTCGAGTGGAACAACACTCCAACAATTTCGCCTGACGACTTCGGCAAACACTCATCTCTAGTGCATGGCAAGCAAGCAAGCGACCGACCTATGGGTGTTGTGCTCGATTGCCACACGTCCCGCAGATTAGAACAGTTTGCGTTTCGGATCACTTGACACATTAATGAATGGGGAGGGGAATACTTGAGGAAACGGAATCATCCGCCAAGGAAACGCTGCAAGTGGCTCACAGTGGCTTCGCTTCAGTCATCCCACCAGGAGCGGAAATGCCCGAGACTGAGGAACAAGGAAGCCCCAGAGGAACTCTTCTCTTACTCTCGGGCACAGCTTCTGGGCAGAGGATCATCGTTTCGGGTCGTTTCCGCTGTCGAATCATCACTCCGAATCAATCCATCTACCGGGAGGAGCGTGGCTGCTACATTGTGCGTTGCTAAAACGTGATTATTGACGGCGCCTCTCGGTTGACTCTGCGGACGGACGAGCGAGTGAGCACTTGAGCAAGCCAGCGGGGAATACAACTGGGATTCTGCTCGTCTGCGATAATATCGCCGCCGAGATGCCTCAGTCGTTAGGGCCGTGTGCACAAAACGATGAATTTATTAGCGGGCTTAATTGATTGGGATCAATAACTCGTTCAATTCGCTTTGCTTGTCAAGCCCGCTAACGGAGGCGGTGGCTCTGAGCGTGGGGAAACAACGTCGATCGGGCGGTCGCCGTCCACCGATCTCGGGACCTCGGGAGGTCTCAACAAAAGGCTGCGCACCGAGCCCGCGATGCAGTTTGTCCACGCCGGCCGGGACGGGAAGAGAGCCCCTACTCAGAGTCATCCTATGCTGTCCTTTTCGATTAGTTTCAATTAGGGAAGTTTTCCGCCTTATTTGTTTATGAGCTCCGATAGCAGAGACGCTTGTTCAATCGTTGATTCGATCGCGCGATAACAAGTTTCCGCCGTCGTTGAGCTATCTCTGGAAGGCCGGTCTTATCCTCTGCGGCGAGCTCGCTCGGAGAAGATTGAAATGTGCTTCTTTCTACTTTCATTGCGGAGAGTATAACCTCCGGACGGCTCAGCCGAGTTTTTCAATAAAAGCCAGCGTCCTGTTTCGCTAGCCGCGTGTAGCGGCCCTCTTCCGCTCTCGTCCGATCGACTGAACCGAAACGCTCGATGGCGTTTATCGCTCGGTCGCTCGCTTGGACTCAGGGTCAAGCCTGGGAGGATTGATGTAGGAGGCAGATCCCTCTGTTCCTTAGGAGCGATTATTCGCTGCGCTCCAGAGGAGCTTTCCCTCAAATTGAATCGTCTTCGCCCACGGCGGCGAATTAAATGCTGGACGCGTGATCGTTTAGCCTTCAGTCGTCCGATGGCAGCTGCGCGCCGGCCGGGTTCGAGATCGTTTCGAGGAGTAGCGATCTCGCGAAGGCGTCGCGGGATTCCTTTTTCCTGCTAAAAGCGAGGGAAGGGCTCCTACGCGCAGTCGGGGAAACTCGCTCTTGAAGTGTATGAACTCTGGTAGCATCGAAGACTAGCAGGCTACTGAGCCGGCTATTCGATTCCACTTGGGTTTGTTTATCATCTCGAAATCCAAATAAAAGGAACGACAACTTCCACTTCCCGAGTTTTCGGGTCGTCTTCCGGAGCTGCGGTATCGCGGATCGAACACTTTCAGGGATCCGGATCTCAGAGCTCCGCTTGCGAGAAGGAGCAACAACGTCGGAGAGTACTCCCGAGAGGAAGCGACGCTGTGTGAGAGGTGGTTTTCGGCGGGAGACTCTCGCGAATTTATCCCTTGTCGCTCTGAAAAGCTAACGGACTTGTTTCCGATACGCGTTTGTTGGCTCGCGCGCTCGTCGTCTTTTTTATTCATCCGACCAGCTATCCATCCATCCGGTCGTCTTCGCTTGTTGAGCTGCGGAATCCTGTCGGTGGCGTACGGATAGAAATGACATCGAATCGTAATAGATTTATTGCGTTCCGGAGAAGGACGACGAAGAGGAAGAGAAGGACCTCGGGCTTGGCAAAAACCACCGCGCCGTCGACCTGCCTGCCTGCAAGCCAGCCGATCCTCCGCTCGCTCTCGAGCGTGAAGCTTCCTCTACGACGTAAGACGGCAATTCTTGGCTAGCGGCATCCATGGAAAGTTTGGATGACGAGCCGCTATTTCACCGTATCCCGTCGGACTGTGGCGACTGGCGCCAAGCCGTCTTCTCGTTAATTTCTGATGCATGCAGACTGTGTCAGACTGCCTCGACCGGTGCTGCACTGATCAAAATTGGGTATTTTCTTTTTTTCTTTCAGAAGCGCATCGTTGAAGATCGGGGCCACACTATCGCGAAACTGGCTGTCGGGAACTTGCTCAAGCTCGCGAGGAGTTTGGAGGAGTACGGTCTATGGATCGCCCAACAATTAAGTCGCCTCCTGGTGGGAGGAACCCGTCTGACCCTCCCGAGAAATAAGCCTCCGACCGAACCCACCTTGATTAATCGGCCTTTGGTGCCGGCGAGCCAGTGCTCTCGAGGATACATCCTGGGATGATGGCTGACGTGAGCCATGCTCGGTGGCGATGTCAGCTCCATATCGATGTTCTCCGCATCGCTCGTGTGCCATTTTGTGTAGCAAGCAGCGTGCTTCACGTAGTCTATGGAGCCCATTTTGTTCGCGGTCGAACGATTGTCGCGGTCGTTCTCCACTGCGTTCAAGTCCTTCTCTTCCCAGACAGCTGTCTTCGGATGTCTGGAATGTATTGAAAATGAGTTAATTTACGATGTCAGCGGAAAGTAAGAAGTTCCCGAGTCTGCGGCCAAAGGGCTCCGGTTTCCCGACACTCGTAGACAGCCCGTCTCATTCGAAAGTTTTCCTGCGGGACCCTTCGCTCCGCAGGATAATGGAAGGCTGGAAAATATACGAGAACCCGCCCGACTGTCCCGTGAGCAGATTTGTTCGCTCTACGGGAGGAGAATAGTTTCGCAAATTCATTTCGCCGGAAGTCTTGGCCGTCAACGATACTCTCCATTGGCTGAGAGCACATTGCCAATTCGACTTCGGAGTCGGAGTTCTCGATATCGGAGACCGTCGCATTGAGATCATGGTGGATGCAACAGTTATCGAGTCCGATTTGAATTCCTCTCGCACGTCATCAGATTCCCTCGTCCGCGGATCGAATCACGCGACTCAGAAACTGAACTATGAGAGGCCGAGGTAGAACAACGATCGGAGGACACTAAAAAGAAACGAACGAGCAAAGCGAGCCACGGAAAATCCAACACTCTTTCGGTTCGGACTGCTCCCTGACGTAGCTGGATCGAAGATCGCGCCGGCGGCGCTTGCGTTGATGATGGTGAACTCTGTGTCCCGATGTCGGACCTCATGAATATGTATAGCGCCCGGTGTCTGCGTTGTTTTCACACCTACATCGAATGGCTCCCGACGGAATAAACCCCGATGAGCTCCGAGCGTGGCCGCTCGTCGAGACAATTGTTTTGGACTTCTTTGACCTTTTTTCGAAGTCGCTCTCCTCTCGAGTCGCGTCAACATATCAATATACAGTATGACGACTTGAGCCCGAGAGATAGGGGCGGGAACGCTCTTTGCGACACGCAAAACCACCACCGCCACGAGCGGTACTCGGAGCGACCGGGAGCGGAGAGCCGTACGTCGAAGCGAAAATCGATACAGCCGAAAGTCCCGAGAACAACGAGAAAATGAGGAAAAGACGAGCCTCAGCTTAATGCGAAGCACAACTGGGCAGATAACGCGGCCATGTGCATTCGTCGCTCAGACTGTGTCATTCGTCCCCGTGTCACTCCAGCCCCCAAACCCTGACTGTCGTTTTCGTCGCTTCTGGCGTGTGCATCAGCTTATCAGTGGAACAACATGTCAAAAGATTCTCGTCTCCTCTCCGACGCAATCTCTCAGTCACTCACAGCTCACAGGCTCTCGTTTCATCGGTAGGGTATCCCGTCGCTTCTGAGTAAGCGTCGCCCTTCGCTGACTGACAAGTCACCGACTGACCTGCATGAAAGTGAAAAGTATCAAAAATTATTACATCACTCACCACGGAGATCGCTCCAAAAGTTGCTTCGAACTGCTGGGCGGGGGATGTTGAGCGCTCTCCTGGTTTTGCCCTCGATGGAAGCGGGAGAACTTTTTTCCCGTGCACCGGACTCGTGAAGTTTCACATGGTTCCACGGGTCAGAAGTATGCCCTCCGAGACGACAATATGATTCGCTGCATGACAAGCACAACGTGCTTCGGACAGCCTCGACGTTATTTCACCCTGACGAGTTTCTCTACTTTTCACTGGAGCACGAATTCACATTCCCGTGCGAAACCTATCGAGCTGGTTATGACAGCTGATCGGAAACAATTATTCACAATTTTCTTTTATGCTGCGTAGGCAAGCTGCTGAACTCGAGAGTTCTGTTCGACTCCCATCAGAATCTACCCGAGCACTGAAGTGCGGTGCCGCTCACGCGAACCTCAACAAAAACCAAAGCGCGAAACCGAGCGTTGTCAACTGCCACCGTGGCAGCCGCGGGGCGCTATCCAGCGAGTTTTCGTTCGGAGATTCCACTTCGGGTGCACGGCGTCAGAGTGGAGAGATGCTCTGTCGTCCTCTCCACTAGACCCCCTCCCTTAGTCCTCCTAGAGGCCCCATCCTCCTCAGGGAATCTCGTTTGGTTGCGGCTCGCTTCGTGGGCTGTCTGACTGACTGACTGACTGGCTGGGAGCAGGCTCGCTCAATAGCTCACTCTACGGCTCCGGGCGGGCAAGCAAGCAGTCTCGGTTCCATTTCCTCTTTCTGTAGCTGCTTGGCAGCCGGTCGCTTGTCCGCTTGGTCGGTCGGTCATATACACTTGCTAGCAAGCAAGCAAGCAATCTGTGAGTGAGTGAGTAGGCAAGCGAGCGAGCGTACATGCATACTCACCCAAACAGCACATTCAGAAGCAGGGAGCCTCTCAATAGACGTCAGCGGCTATCACTCGAGCGATGCCGTTTATCATCTATCTGCATGTATCCGAGCGAGCAGAGCGGGGGGAAGACAGCAAGCGAGCAAGCAAGCAGGAATCGAATATCGACTCGGCTCGCTCGTCGATCCAGCGTTTTCGGCAGAAGGTTGCCCACTCGGAAAAGGCGATCCCCATGTGTTTCGAACTTCTCCGACCGCGCAGGCTTTCGCAATACCAATCTCGGGTCCACACGGCGCGGCGGCCCGCTGTTCGCTGCAAAGTGATCCGATTGCGACGTTGGGCTTCACTGAGAGAATCTGATAGGGAACCCGTGGATATTCGCTGCTAATCGGGAGAGATCCGCAAGCCCATTGAGCGAATGTTGCTTTGCGGTAAAATACTGTGAGTACCGGGGAGATACCGGGAAGTGAGAGGTTCGGTCTCTGATTCGGTCCGGTAACTTGAGGGCTTCCGTGACGCTATCAGGTCTTTTGATGAGTGTAACTCTTGCATGGCGAAGATGTGCAGCGGAGTGTATGCCCGCCCTCTTGTCTCATCGGACAGTTGGGTCATCGCTTTCTGTATGCACGAAGGCGCTCGAATTATTCAACCCTATGAATACTGCGCTCAAATTTGGATTAAGATAGGAATCGGGAATCAGTCCTGAGATCGAGCTCCTTCGTCATGAGTGATCACCGGTCAGACTCCTCCTGAAAATAGAGGCATTCTGCTCGATATTCAGGCACAGGTACCCCTCTGATTGAAATACCCTCCCGGATCGCTCGTGCATCCGAGCGATCTAAGTTCTCCTTGTCGACAATCGAATATGCTTTCTCCATCCGGTCTCCAGCCCCTTTCCGAAGTCTATCGAATCTCTCGGAAGATTTCCAGAATGAGCTGCCCGTTCAACGAATGCAGGATGACGTGGCTAGAGAATGAGCTCTCTGAATACAAGTCGTCCGAATGTGCATGCCGAGTGCTCGGACCTTCATGAGACGATACGTATTGCGTGACTATCACCAGAGAAGACCTATCATTGAAGTGTACGAGGCAGTGGTTCCCAAACTTTTTCTTACCGTCGGAATTCCAAGGGGTTCCGACGGGGTTCCGTAGGTAGACTTTGGGGTTCCGCGGAACCCAGTTTGGCGGACACTGGTATAAGGCATTTGTCAGAGCGAGCTCGTTTCCCCTGATTTGTCCCATCGAGGAGCAGAAAATCTCCCAGACATAGGAGCCTCTGAAGAATTCCGTTGAAGAAGGGATAACTAGAGCCCGTTCGCTGACGCTTCGAGATATTGATGGGTCAAAGGGCTGTGATGTGGTGCTACTTACATTCAAAGGGGTGTCTCCGCTCGACGTTGAGAGCGATTTATGAGTGAGAGGCGGTCACGAGGACACGGCGAGAGATCACTAGGCGCGAGCGGATCGCGCTGTGCGGAATCGTGAAGAGATCTATGATTCAGTTTTGGAAAAGTTGATCCCGAGTATAGATGATCCTATAAGCTGAATAGGATGTAGAATTGTAGTCCGCCCGCATAAGCGGACTGTGGACCGACTATGAGACAGATGAGACGGTATCTTGATGAATCCGCATGAGGAGATCGTTACCTCAGCTATCACTGGAACCTGCGTCGTCCAGGGGATGCTGTGTGGAATCAGCTCTAAGATTCGAGGGCGGTGGCAGCCATGGGGGACCAGAATCGACAGAAATTAAATATGGTCCAAAGATTATCGTTAGTATAAGAAGATTTCACTCTGCGATAAGCGGGGAGCTGGGCGAGATGGGAGAACCTCGTTGCTGCCGTACGAAATTCCTGTATCAGGTGAGCCGCGACCGAGTCGAGAAGCGCGTGACACCGCTCTCCTCGCGCCAACTGCTGAATCGATTCCCATTGATGCGTCTGACCGAGCAACGAGGAAGCCTTCCTGTTTGTGTGTCGTGATGTCTAAGTGTACAAGTTCATTAATACTGAGCGAGTGAACCCGTCCGTGAATCGTTCCTTTCGCGTCTGGAATGAGGTTCTTCAAAAACAACCATCAGCTCGGTCATCGTTGGCTTCGCCTTACTATTATGACTTGTATTCTGCTCGGTGTCAACGCCCAAAGTTGGTACTTCCCGTAAAATTGACGAAAATATCCGCGGCCGATCGGATGTCTCCAGTAGAGCAGGGCATGTGACCGCCTCATCTGAGCCCAAGTTCAGAGATGAGATCGGTAATATTCCAGAAAATCCGGCATTATCGAAGTCGACCCTGGGGCCTTTCATCTTCCTCGAATGTCTGATATCGTTCGCGTATACCCTCGAAGACCACCTGGATCCTTCGCCGATAACAGACGAAAACGGTCAGTATGGCGCAGATGATCTTCCAGAAAGCTCTTCCAAGCTAAAAAATGTATGATCGAACAGCAATGTGAATTTTCCGGATCGGAACGATATGCATGCGCCGATTGTTGAGCCAATCTACTCAGTACCTTTTCGCCTCGAAGAAGTCTACGCCAAGTTGGAATGCGGGGAACGTCTGGTTGCCTTTCAAGCGGAATGCTTCATCTTGTGTCATGGATTCCCCCCTAAAACGGTTTCGCTGCCAGTCAACTCCTCGTGCACAAGCGTATGTTCGGAGATCGAAAGCAAAATATTCTACTTCTTCTATTCCCACCTCAACAATCGGATCGTCGCTTGGGAGAAGCCTCTCGATCCAATAGGGCTCCATCAGGCCTCATAGATTGGGAACTGAATATAATTTTTTCTCAATACAGATAGCTGGATATCAAGGCCTCTGTGAACCTTTCGAAGACCACACTATTTGCGTGGTTGACGACCAAACAATTCTCATCGACGACCTTTATGTGGAATAAAGTATCTGATTTTGTCTCCGTTGAAGTTCGCGAGAATTCATTATTCTTAGATCCCATGGGCTCCATGGAAGACATTTTGCTCTCATAGGGCCGAGGGCTGATTCCCTCGCGAATTCCAGCGCGCAACCTCTCGATGAGCGCCGGTGTTTGGACCTCTCGGAAAACAGAGCAGAAGATGAATCGCCGGTCCTGAAGATTTGTAGCGTTTCGGTCGAAGTCACACAACGGAACAGATAGCGATTCCTGCCAAGTGACGCACAAATTATCATCGCGACGAGCGATAGCGCCGGAAAGCCTCAAATTCCGAGAACTCCACAGGCACCTCTCGTTTCCGAATGCCATCAGATAGGCTCACAGCAGGGTTTTTCGACAAACCTTGCTGTGACGTCGCCGATTCGGATAGCTTCAGACAAAAGCTGTGAGTCTACGACTTTCCAGCACCTCGAGATCTACTCTTGAACTCTTTCCTAGAGTCCGCAAGAAAACTGGCGCAAAATGTTCGAGAAATCGGAGCCTTGCGATGGAGAATCGAATTGCAACGCCTGTCTCCACTGTGCTCTGCTCCGAAAAAATCGAGAATGTTTAGTTTCTGATCTGCATCCATATTTCGAACGATGACCTCATGATGCGCATCTTCACCATGGAACCCGAGGTGCTCATTCTTGAATTACAGGCTCACGCATTTTCCCGAGACCGGAGCGAAGAAGTTCAGAGATTCACAACCATCACAGCGATGGAAGATGGTAGTCTAGGTGTTGGGATGCGATGTCAGAGGCTGGTAACCTAACTCGACGGTTGTGCACAGTGGGAGAGTGTACATTTCACAAGTCACAATTTGCTGAGGTCATTGAGGGATCTTGATTCATAAACGCAGAATTCGAAAGTTTTACTCTCACCGCGAGCTAAGCGGGGAAACAAATGATGGGAACATTGAGGGAGCCGACGGATAGCTGGATGCAAAGAACGTGTAATAATCGAGTTCGTAGAGCAGTCCAGACAACAGTTTCAGGTCCGCCTTCTTCGAGCTCTTACAGTTACTCTATCCCAAGCGGGAGATCCGGCTTCCGATCGGTTCCTACGGAAACAGGGAGGGCTGAAGTCCCGTTCATGAGGGATCTTTTGTCCCAAGCGGCCTCATTCCGGGAGGGGATTCCGTTCCTCTCGGAACCGTTAGGGAATGTCAAAGTTCTTTACCTGATGATAAGCATATGACACTATAGGGGCGGGTCTTTCCGTCGGTACTTTCCGCGGATTGCACCTCTCCAGGAAAATGCCAGATTCCTCGCGCCCATCTTCGACAGCAGGAATCCGTGCGCAGTCCCTAAAGATGGTCAGAACATGCTTTGAAAAACCGTCTAGCGTCGACCCTTCGGTGAGCACCTCTACCGTCATGTCGACCATGGTCGTCTCCAAGAACATGATCCAGAAAGCATGCCGGCAGGTCCTATGGTCCGAGAATAGCCAACATCCATCCGTCCAGGACGATGTACGCGCGTCGGAGCGGCTTTGGCACTTGTTTCCGAAATTCTTCTTGCCTTCAAGCTCACTCAACGGTGATTCTCTTTTTCGCTCCGTGATCCGCGCGTAATGGCTCTTGTTGCCGATCTTCCTTTTAACTTTGTCTCCGCTTGCACTTCTCGTCTCAGGAAGTCTTCGCTGTTTGTCTGGCTGGTGGACCGACTAGCCGGGTGGCTGATTTTCGGCAAGTTTTGGTTGTTGGCCGACGACAAAACCGAAGCGGCAGATTTCACTGACTGGTGACAACGCACAGTGCTCCGTTGCGCAACGATGACCGAATAGCGTCGTTAAAATAAATTTACCGGATGACGTTGTTCGCTACTAGACTATGTCTAGCTGATATTACCACGACCGTGATGTATGTATTATTGCTAACATCGACTTATACGTCGGTCGGCTCTTTTGCCCCTTAGCAGCGATGGGTCTGAATTATTTTCCGATAGTCCGACTCCTCCTCGACCGTAGCCATGGGATAGGAAGCGGTTCGCCGTCTGCATTGAAGCTCCGAATAGCAGAGAGAATGGCAACCCGTGAACCTGGGCCCAGAATGAATTTTCCGTATGATTCCAAATCGCAGGAGTCGAAAACAAATCTGAATGAGAGCACCCTACGTAAGCTTGACATCACTGCGCTACTTTCTCATGTTACGGTGCCGTCATTGTTGTTTTTGATATCATTGGTGTTTTTGTTGTTGTCGCTTGTGATAATGATGTAGCTGCCGATGACCGCGACGACTCGGACCGAAGCCGTTGTTGCCGATGTCGCCGTTTTCGGAACCACCGTCGCCGTCACCACGGCCACCGCCGCCGCCGCCACCGCCTTCACCAAAACCACCTTCGACCAGCTGCGCGCTTCCGAAAACCGAGCCACGGGTCTCAAGAAATCGAATCGAAGAAGACAGTCTGCGAGTGAGCGAACAAACGAGCCCTTTCCGCAGGGACCGCATTGCTCGTTTACCCCAATATAAGAAAGCCGAGCCTGCTTGAAGACATAGCAGCAACGGAACCTGTTCAAAAGATGACGTTCAAAGTCGTTTCGAGCTTCCTCTGTGTCCTGTTTGTTGTGTCCGCCGCGCGTAAGTGAACCAGATTCTCCTGCTGTGCTCGTGCTTGTTGTACGTGGCGGCTCCGTGCTGTTTGTCTGATTATCGGATTGCGCGGATCGCAATCATGTGTGTCTCGACTGTCAGACGCTCGTGCCCTAATCGCTGAGGATTATTTGAATTGTTCCACATTTGAGGAAAAGGGAGAATCCGCGGCTGAAGAGAATGCTCGCCTCGGATGAATCCTTCAGTCAGCGATCTGAGACGTGAAAGTGGAAATTCCTTTCGGGGGCGAGTGCAGATCACTCGGATGCTCTTCGCCGCGAGCATGCATGCCAGGAAATCCGATTCCCCCATTTACCTCCTTTTCCGGGTGGCCCCCATTACCCCATTCGCGCCATTGTAACAAGATCCATGACGTAGAGTCCGGAATCCGGAATCGCAAGCTCTGATGCCGATCACGGAGAGAAGAACTCGGACTGCTCGAATCATGAAAGCCGTCCAGTTCCATGGGTGACGGCGACGGATTTTCACTTCCCCCAAGAACTTGTATTTGTGTGCGTGTGCGTATTTTTGCTCGGTTGCAGCTTGTGTTACATAACATTACATAGCAACGAAGCGTTTCAAACATTTCAGGTGGCCAAAGCGACGACTTCCGCGATGATCCGCTCGAGCAGTCAAGTACGTTCTAAATCGCTTTCCCTGTCCTACGACGTTTGCAACTTTGTGAAATTCGATCGACAGATGTCAGATCACTGATGCCGATTAGTCGTTGCTCAAGCATGGACCGCATGAACGAAGAAATGGAATATGAATTATATATTTCCGAATATCTCATCGCTTGGTGGCCGACGACGGAACGACCCTGTGACGGATTCGGGCGAACGACTTCTTCTCATCCATTCTGTGATCCCTAGGAGATTGCTTCGAGAAAGTGCACTTCGACTTCAGCCGCAGAATCACGGATGGTGCCCAACGCGAACTCGGATTGATCATGGGAGATATTTCTGATGCCGAAGAGAAGCGAGTCAACCCGAAGGAGAAGGGAGCGGTTTTGAAACACTTCAGCTTGGTTCTCAAAAGAACTGAATACGTCGCCATGGTGAGAATGCTCGTTGGCTGTCGAAATCAGAATCGACTCAAAGACTCCGTGAAGCCGAGGAGCTTAAGTCGATCTTGGGAATATAGTGATACGACGGAAAGATGATGGGGATGAGTCATCTCAAGTAACTCATTTTCGTCCTTGACAGGAAAACAAGTCCTTCTCCCCGGAAGATAAAGTGCAGATTAAGGCCTTCATCAAACACCTCAAAGTTTGTATCGAATGAGTTTGACTTCCTTCTAATTGAGGAGAGATTGCTCGCGATTGCCGCTCCATTCAAACAACAATGCTCGTTCCTACAGAACTGCATCTACGGCTCCGCTTGATCCTGGCGACTTGATGGATTCTGGATTGGTGAATTATTTCCTTGAAGTTGAAGAATGATCCTCAGAGTGGAGTTTGTTTTGCGGGTCAGAATAAACTGTACTTGGAGGCGAACCAACTCATTTCATGCGCCTTCACTGCCTGTAGGGGTGGGAAGCGATATCATTTTTCGATGTTCTCTTTTTTGTACGGATACTCATGTCTCATGTCTGTCGGATCGGATTAATCCCTCGCTAAACGTCCCGCGGATCTGCGCACTGCCCCTTTCGCCGCTGACACATTCTCCATCTTTCTCGACGGTCGTTCGATCTAGGGTTTCATCTTCCCGACGCTGCCCGATCTCTCGAATTTGGACTGCATCCCTACTCTCTCAATCGGCAACCCATCAATGCCCAGTTGAGTAGGAGTCCAGGAGATTCTCGTGGTGTTTGCAAGATCGAGATATATTCGTTTTCAGGGAAATTTAAAGAGCTCTGACCATAAAATGAAAGCTCAACGAGATTTTGAGCTGAGCTAAAATAAGCGATGTTCCAATAATATCTTTCCCGGACGGATCTCTGTTCTTCTTGCTCGACAACCTCTTTTCCATCCCGAGTTTCGCATTGATAAACACGGGAAATGAATGGGAAGTATCGGAACCTCCCCGGAGCCGCCGGATCGGCATCCGCGAGAGAACACGACGCATTGATGAAGGTTGGAAAAACTGCCAGAAACCCCAGCGGAAACGCGCAGGGAGCTAGAATGTTCATTCTGATCCCCTTGATCTCTGAAACGCGTGTCTCCCATCACGAAGGAGAGTCTCAGCTCAGAGACCACCCGGGACAGTTGTCGTTCTCGGATCAACGGGGAATCAAGAAGATCAACTGAAGACAAGGGAAGCGCGTAGTTTCCCCATGCGTTGTTGAGCACGCTATGCGTGGAGCGTGCACGTCGGATTGAAAGGTCTTCAGTCGCTCTGGTTGCACGTCTGCGTCGCGACGCAAACACGGTGATAGGGTCAACAAGAGATCGCGTACTTTTCTCCCAAAGCCCTCCTCGAAGTGCTCGCGCGGTGAAAGTTCGAGACCTTGAAAGCACGGCGATTCCCGAAGTTGAGAAGCCTCGTTATTGTCATTTCTTTAATCGAAGTGTTGGAACGATAGAAACTCAAAACGGGGAACATGAGTGAGTATCCGCATGTATTCAGCGTTCGTGACGTCTCCCGTCGAGGATCGAGACCGGATTCAGGAGTGCTCAGAGGGTCAGGGTGCTTGAGATTTCGAAAATACCTCCACCTCCGAGCATCCTTATATAAATCATCGCAGAAACGATAACGAACATTGCAGATTGCGCTGCCTTTTGGAAGGGATTCGGTCGACACATAAAACGAGGTCGAGATTTTAACATGGCAAGAGCCCTGCCGAGACAAAGACCGCGTCGTGAAACCGTCTACGGCGAGATCTATGATCCGGCAGAGGATCGCGAAGAGCTCCCCAAGCCTCCGGCTAAGACTCAAGAGCAAATGGATATGCTGATGAATAGAATTAGGACAACCGCCTTCCTGAAGGAAATCGATGAGCCGCGTCTGAAGGCAGCCCTTTCACACATGACCAGGAGAGAGGTGAAACCAGGAGAGATCATCATGAGACAGGGAGATTTAGGCGATCATTTCTACGTGGTCGAGAAGGGCGAGTTCCAGACTTACGTCAGGGCCGAGGATGACGACCCCATCTGTTTCGGGGACCCCGATAAGACTTACAAGGACGACGGCTGCTTCGGCGAACTCGCCCTGCTCTACATGGAGACCCGAGAGTTTACCGTGAAAGCCGTCACTGCCGGTGTCATCTGGCAGATCGCTCGTAGACTCTACACTCGAGTGGTTGTTAAAATGGCCTATTTGAGAAGGCAACGCTACATGAAGTACCTCGACAGTGTCTTCATGTTGAGCACGGTCGAGCCCTACGAGAAAGTCCGTCTTTGCGACGCCTTCGAACCCAGAGTCTTCAAGAAGGGAGAAACCATCATGAAAGAGGGCGGCCCCGCCGACGGAATGTATTTCGTCGAGGAAGGCGAAGTGGAGCTCAAGAGGAAGGACAAAACCCAAGTTCTTGATAAGGGCACTTACTTCGGAGAGCATGCGCTGCTCGTGAAGACTCCGAGAGAAGAAACCGCCGTTGCGAAATCCGACGAGGTCATATGCGCTTTCCTCGAAGCGGAGGCCCTCGATCGCCTGCTCGGAAAGCTGAACGACCTGCTGAAGAGAGATAAAGCCATCTGCAAGAGAGTAGCCCAGCAGCTTTTCAAATCCGACACCATCCCGGCCGATAAACTCAGATAAATTGCCAATGGCCCCGGGACTATCCGATTCTACTACGTCCTCGCATAGTCTCTCCTTGCAGAAATCAGGGTTCATAATCATTAGGAATACGAATTTTTGTGCCATCCATGTTCGTAGAATTCGACGACGTCACAACGCATTCGGCGATGAAACGGATATTTTATCCCCAACATGATCCCTTAGATCCTTAGTAGTCTCTCATGTCGACCGACCCTTACACCGGGAATCTTTGTCGTGTTTTCCTTTAATGATGAACGATGTGCAAAGCTCAATCGCTCTAGTTTGTATTTATTTCACTTGACAAGATTTTCTCGTATGCCCCAGCCCATACAGCGGACATTTCTGACCCTGACAGTCTTCTCCGAGGAGCCGGTGGATCATTGTAATCATCCATCAGACAAGAGATGAATTGGTCCTACTGGGCTCATTGCTGAAGTAATTGTATATTCATTTATAGTGAGGAGCGCTCAAGATTTCCATGTGGAAATCCGTGAGCCATGATGACTGCGTGGCAGATTGAACGATGAAGATATGATTTGACCTTTAAGTGTTTTGGAAGCGCTACGTGCGTTGTGGCATGAGAGCATCTATTGATTGAACGTGTTCGAGGGACAACCGAGTCTAGAATCTTATGGAAAGTGGTGAGAACAGAGTGAAGAAGCAAATAAATTTGAAGAACGATTCTTAACTCTCTATCCTGATTTGATTGAAGACGCGAGTCATCGTGCTACATTCGGTCGACTCGTGCTTCGGTGCGGCTCTCAGACGGCATCTAGGAAAGGGAAAACTTTCTGACATCTTTCTCTACATCCGAGACTATTCGAAACTGTGGTGTTATCATTGATGACAAGGATTCCTTCCCCACTCGAATAATTCGGCCAAGTCACTCCGCGAAGCTGAGGGACGGCATCGGACTTCGCGAAGTCGGCAAGCATTTTCACTGAATCCATGCTGAATTGCTTGTCGTCGGCATCCAGTGGCGTCTCGCCGGAGAACGCCAAACACGAACCGAACATGTGGATGAATGGCGAACCGTGGAACGCACCGAGGAGCTCGGGATCGTTCATACCAGGAAGAATTCCTTTCGTTTTCATGGTCCTCTCGAATCTGTACACGAATACGTTCTTGTGAACGCTGGAGTATTCCTTCACAAAATGATCCGTGGGACACGCGAAGGTGCCGTCGGTTATGAAATCAGAGATGTCGTGGAAGTGGTTGACAGACTTCCCGAAGTACGTCTGAGTCACGGCGGCCTTGACCTCTTTTTTATCGAAATCGAGCGGATACACGAGATTCTTGGACATTTTCTCGCTCAAAGCGACAAACTCAGTTTCGGTTTCGACCTTCTGAGCCTCCGGTACCATCGCGGCAAACATCGTTCCCTCATCTTTGGTAACACCGATGATCATACGAACGTCTGGGAACTTGTCTGGATTCTCCTGGACGTATTTGGTCGGGTCGACCGGGACGAATTTGCCATCGACGGTGGGAATGAAAGTGAAGATCGAGCTAGTCTCGAGATCGGAAGATAAATCTATCAATCGAGTGGCGTTGACGTTGCGCAGACAGCTAAGCATTTTCCCACCTTCGGTGCCGCATCCAACTTTGCCAGCGATCTCCTTCATTCGGTTCAGAGTGTAATCCTGGGTCATGATGCTTGTGCGTGACATGACTCCAGCGTCCATAAAAACACCTCTGAAGAGATTCTTGCCACGGACGAGAGGTGACGCTAGCAGAGCGGCAACCGAGATGGAGCCAGCACTGACCCCTACGAGAGTGACCCGATGCGGGCAGCCCCCAAACGCGGCGATGTTCTCGTGAACCCACTCCAGAGCAAGGAGCTGGTCGAAGAAGCCGAGGTTCCCAGGAGCGAGATCTTTCATGTCGGCGAAACCGAAGATTCCGAGACGATAGTTGATGCTGACCACGATAACATCACCTAATGCGACCATCGGTTTCGCGTTGTAACTCTCGTCGGAAGAGCTCCCCTCAGTAAAAGCTCCCCCATGGATCACGAACAAGACCTGATGGGATTGTCGACAGCTTAGACATATGCCAACCAGTTTCGCTCATCGCTTTGTGAGGTCGATGCTTGCGGAATTTCAGATTCCGAAGCTAGAAACGGAGTGATTTCAGGAGGATTTTCTCGTACGAACGAAATCAGAGGAATTCATCGTTTGTCAACATTAGCGGGCTCGGACAGAACTTACGGCTTTTTTCGCGTCCGCCTGAGTTCCCGCTTTGCGGAAAACGTTCAGGTAGAGACAATCTTCAGATTCCACAGCGCTTGCGGGTCGCGACGTGGACTTACTTTCACGTTGGTGACATTTCGACGAGAATTGACTTGCGTTCAACTCGCCAACTGGACCGAAAACTTGCGGGTAAGCGAAACGAAGATCTCCGAGAGGAGGTTTCGCGTAGGGTATACCAAGGAACGACTCGACTTCCACATCTTCGAAAGAATCGCTTCTACCAGAGATGGTTCCAAAGGAGCTATTCACAAAGGGCTCGCAGTCGACGGATCCGACAAAGGCGGCAGCTACCGCCAGTAAGCACACCACGGGGGCCATTCGCTCCGGGCTCAGCTGCTGATCCAGAGGCAAATGAGCATAACACTGTGAAATAAACTCCCAGACTCGCTGGTTGTTATTGGAAGTAGTTAGGAGAGAAGGTCTCCGACGATCAAGGTGAGCTATTCACTGCGCGATGATGTCGCGACTCGAAAGATTCATTGAATAGGATTGACAAAAGGAAGTGCCAGACTATGATGAGAGACCAGATGTTGCCTGCAACGAGTTGTAGACGTGGAGACGAGCTAGAGATGTCACTGGGATTGTACTGCAAGCGCCACTCTGCAGTGACGAACTCATTTGACAGATCGCGATATTTCGTCGGCGTGGTTCACCCGACAAGTCCTCAGAAGTGGGCCAGAAGACTTGACATTCCCTTCCCACTTCGAAGTATTCGACTGAATCTCCACGGGCCGGAATATGGAGTCTCGATGCTCAGTGATGTGCCGCATCTCTCCGGAAGCGACTGCCTATAGTAATAATATTGTCGGGGTATGCGAGTGGCCCCGTGAATGTCGATAAGGGAAGGAGACATCATTGGACTCTCGAGCTGTTTTCCAGTGATCTCTTCATCAAAGGCTGCACCGATTGAGATTGATGGGAGCATGCGTTGCGCAGACGATGAATCGGGCCAGAGAGAAGAGGCGTACGTTGCCTCTTCATATCATTTTCGTTCTCGCTATCGGTGGTGGAGTTTGAGAGCGTGTGTCTGGAAAGGGCTGAGGGTACAAGTCCGATACCAGAGATGCGAGCCCTACGGTACGCTGAGTTCGGTGGGTTATACGGTTCGGGATAAGTGATATGTCACATTGTTGCTCTCCCATCGTATTATTTGATCCCGAGACACACCAGCAGCTCGGAGCTCGGAGGAGTCCACGCCCATATATGAATAACTCCGGAGCAATCTCCCTCTCGCTCAGGCAATCGGCAGAGAGCTGGAGCTTTCACCGATTCGCAGCCCCGCTGTAGAGCCCGTGATGGCCGGGTCCAGGGGGAAGGTCCCCCCTCCCCCGATTGGAGCGGGCTCGATTACGATAGATCCTGTCCTACAGGACCAGCCGCGGTGTACCGAAAAGCGGTCCGATAACTCAGGTGTTCCAATCGAAGAGGTTGGCTAAGTTGGGAAGGAATCGACTAGCTTCCTGACCAGTATGGTCCGATGACTCAAATGGTCTCTTCAAACGGTAAACAGTTCCCTTTGCGGTCGATATTGTGCCCCGGGAGAAATGTCGCTGCCGAGGAGCGGGAGTTACAGCGAGCAGCACCTTTCTTAATATCCTCCCTCTTTTTCACAGATGATCAGACCGCCGGTGCTGCTGCTGAATACCTACAATATTTCGCGTGTAGAACTGCTCACGGGATCTAATGATGGGCGCGGTAATCTTTTCTCGTGTCAGGCTCCGCGTGACATCCACGAGACAGCTGGCGACTGTTCTCGCGCAAGATCACTCCATCAGGAAGAGGGCAAGGGATGCTCTCTTTCCATCAGCCCCAGACTGCAATCGTGAAAACTCTTGATCCGGAGTTTGGGAGGTTCGCTGATACCTTCCCTTCATCGCTGCTCTTCGGCGGACCAAGGAGCTTGGTACTCAGATCTGGTTCACAGAATTCCTTTCGGAGGCATCGAGAAGATGGCAAAAGCCCGTCGACACCTCCGTTAAAATGCCCGTCGGATGATACAGTGTCTGGATCCTGTGTCATGAGGAAGGGCAGCGTATCTCGAGGGAAAGAGCTGTGATAATAATTTCTTACATAATTGAGAAGCCCGCCACGAGGAGCAAAGTCCGTGAAAACTCTCCTCCCTGGAGTCTGGAACCTGGCGGAGGGGAAGCTTGCTATTCCCTAATCGCGGCAAGAGCTAGGGGTTTTTGTCCCGATGGGTTCCTGTATGGAGCCACCGCATCTGGTAAGACCATCGTGACGGGCTCTCGGAGCGCATCAGAGGAGGATAGTAAGCAAGAAAACTGTCGAGATTTCATCGTCTGCCCTCTAGTTCTCATGCAAGACACTCTTCAGAGGGCAGGCTGTTTCGTCCATCAGCTTCATTCGCAGATTGCCTCTCCTCCTCGATTCAGGGAGGATTCTCCCCGCGCTCACGGGACCATCTTCGGCGATGCAAAATGGATTGCCTTTCTTCGTCAGGGCGCCGACATTCTCCGTGGGATGCTGGTCAGAGCCGCAGAACATTCCTCGAGTTGTAAAGATCCAACGCGCTGCTCATTCGGTATGACGTCTCCGCATAGGACGACAGCGGAAGGAATCCTGCTGATTTTCTGCCATTCCACTTCGGCTATTCTACTACTCGCCATACCAATAACTGTAACATTATAAGTTGGGCAGAGGATTCGGCGCGGTCGCACCAAAAGCCGTGAATTTCCACGATATCTCCGGGCGATCCTCCGAAGAATGTCTTTGGGGGCGGGGAATGCCGAGAATTTTCAGAATAATACCGTGAATGACTCCCAACGTAAGTTATAAGCCAATGCGAAATCGAACCCCGATTGCACCAGAACGAATGTCTGGAGAGCTTGAGGGACCATCTGATGCCCTTCCGTGTGGACTACATGGGATGCAAAGCCCAGCCCTGAGGAATCTATAATGTTATTCTTCGTTCACCTGCCTCCTGATTCGGATGCTCATGCAGTGAATTCGACGGTGTGCTCAAGGCGGAGCGGAATCGCTCAGTAAAAGACGTAACTGAGAGCTGAATGCCGATATTTTCTGTGTACGACTGATGTATCCGGGCACCGAGCATTCTTCCCAATCTTCTGGCGAGAGGAGTCCGCATCAATCTGGAGAATCTTCATTGATGGTGAATACTCATTCTTCGACACATGTAAGTGCAAGCGCGTCTGGAACATCGAGTTCTCGATAATGTCGCCTGCCCTCAGAGGAGCCCGGAATCTGTTAGACCCGGAAGTGCGCGTGAGATGAGAATGAGTGGTGAAAACACTGGAAGAAAAATCTCCCGGTGAATAGGTTCGTTCACTCTCCAGATTTAGACAGCGGGAGAACTCCGTCTATCGTGTGAGCATTACGGGAGGAATTCACGACTCAATTTTTATTGGACTCCCTTCTCGAACTCAGATCTGGTGCCTGCTTTCACACTGATGTACCAAAAAAACTTTTTCGGGCTGTACCACACAGCCAAGGTTTAACGTCCCGGGGGCTGTTATTCACATTGCTTCCGAGGACGGATCCATAGAGTAAATGTACCCAGGAGGATCAGGGCCTGCATAATTTTCCGGCAGCAGGGATCGAACCTACACCGATGTACCAGGCTTCCCATGAGTGCCCCTCCATGAAATCTTCGAGCTCGTGACCTCGGAAGCGCTAAGCGTTTTCGAGGAACGGGAATATCTTCTCGCATCGGTCCTCATGGACAAGATCTCTCTTTATCGTAGGCTTGTCGTCGATGATGAGAATGCCTTCTCCCTTGGAATAATTCGGCCAGGTAACTCCGCGGAACTTGGGAGCGTTCTCGAAGTTCAAAAAGTTCACCAGCAATTCGACCGAGTCCTTGGCAAATTGCACGTCTTCCGGCTCCAGAGGTCCATCGATGTCTTCTTTTGGGGTGACCAAGTACGAACCGAAGAAATTCGCGAATGGTGAACCGTGGTAGGCACCCACGTTATCCGGGCCGAATTTCAAGTATTTCCGCTTCATGACTTTTTCGAAGTTATACACAAAAACGTTCTTGTGAGTCTTCGCATAATTCTTGACGAATGCATTCGAGGGACATATGAAGGTGCCGTCCGCAATGAGCTCAGCAACGTCTTCGTAATGATCTGCTGACTTTCCAAAATAAGTTCGAATCAGGGAATCTTTCGCATCCTCGGTCTCCAAGGTGAGCGGATACAGAAACCCTCGGGAAATCTCCTTAGCCAATTCGATGAAATCCGTTTCATTCTTCAGCGTTTTCACCGCTGGATAGAAACCGGTGAACAGACTACCCTCATTCTTCGCAACTCCGACAATCATTCTGACGTCCGCGAACTTGTCGGACTTCTCCTGGGTATCCTTGCTAGGCTCTAACGCGATGAATTTCCCGTCGACTGTCGGCGTAAATGTGAGAATCGGACTTGACTCCGGATCAGACGATGCATCTGTCAGTAGTGTGGCGTTCATCTCACGCAGACAGCTGAGCATCCTCTCGCCCTCAGCAGTTCCGCAACCGATTTTCGCTGCGATGTCTTTCACTTTCCGGAAGGATATATCTTGAGTCATGACCGTGGTCCGCGACATCACACCAGCATCCATAATGGCTTGCTTGAAGAGATTCTTACCCCGGATCAGAGGCGTGTTCACGAGGGCACTCACCGACATCGCACCGGCGCTGACGCCCAGCAGCGTGACTCTCTCTGGATCGCCCCCGAAAGAAGCGATGTTGTCATGAACCCACTCGAGCGCAAGCAGCTGATCGAATAAACCGAGATTTCCGGGCGCCAGATCCTTCATGTCAGCGAAACCGAGGATTCCAAGTCGGTAGTTGATGGTTACCACGATCACGTCGCCAGTCGCCGTGACTGGAAGTCCGCTGTAGAAAGCCTGCGAGGCGGATCCCACGCAGAACGCTCCCCCATGGATCACGAATATTACCTGAGAAGGATTCATAGATGAAGAAAATTCGAGGACATGAACACAGAAAATCTTCGGAGAACCCGGGCCCCAGCTTTCCAGTCTCAGCAGGGAGCACGAAGCTAATACTCACCGGTCTCTTCGATTGCGGTCGAGTTCCCGCCTTCCGGAAGACGTTCAAGTACAAACAATCTTCCGACGAGGGTTGAAGACGAATGGGAAAGATTTTTGTTTGGATGCATGTCGGCGAGTATTCGGTGGCATTCAGCTCCCCGAAGGGAACGGCAGCTTGGGGATGCGCGAAACGGAGCTCGTCGACCGGGGGTTTCGCGTAGGGTATACCCAGGAAGCTCTCGACACCGACACCCTCGTATGCCTCGGTCTTGCCGATGATCGTCCCGAGGGAACTCTCGACCAGCGCTTCGGCATCTACGAGGCCGCTGCAAGTGGCAAGAAGTGCTGCGAGACACCACACAAAAAGCGCCATTTGATCCGATTGCGAAGATCGTCTCGAATGGAAGACCTCCACGGAACCGATGTTTCGATTTGCCGCTTCACGTCGAGATAAACCGACTGAGAGAGAAGGGTTCCGGCATTCAAGGTCAGTGAGTCCTTGCGTAGAGCACTACGGATCGACGACTGAGTGAGATGTGTCGTGACGAGAGCATTACATTGGATTAACCACTTCGGTTTGACAGGTAGAAAAGAGAAAGCGATCTCCTGCATCGACTTCGGCATCAACGACGCTCCGTCAAGTTCCCCGTCGTGTGCGCTCAGGGCTTGACGTAGGAATGGATTTGGGGAATTTCTGGTTGTCGTCTCACTTGAGAAATAAATTGTTCTCTATGCTCGATGTTGATCAGGGAGGTAAGCGGTAGTAATTATCATTGCCAGAACTATTTGCCGATGCTGTGAAAGCGCGCTCCCTCAGAGCAGACTCAATCGGACACCCCTCCGGATGAGGCTCATCTCACGAGCACTACGAACAACCTTCTGGCTAGGGTCGAAGTAATGTATCCGAAGTCCGATTCTCGGGGAGTTCTGAACAGGAGAAGTGACAGCTTCGAGCGACGCTCCGGGGATTTCCCGCATGATACAAGCCTTCAGCGGAAAATCGCGGATTTCTTCGGTGAGCCGACCAGCTCGAAGCAGGAGTTCAGCGCAGGGAGAACGGGAGAGGTTCTGCGAGGCGTCAGCTCACATGCGGCTTGGACGACACGACACGGCAAATCGTTACGCAGAGCCGCACACGAGCAAGAGCTCAGTGAGAGAACTTGCAGTTCTCCTCAACTTCACGCTTGTCTATCATGGAGCACCTCAACTCCGTGCTCCCGCTCATCAGATGTCCTAGATCAAATGTTGAGTGTTCGATCGAGAATGCCCCCGGAATAATGCATTTTCACATCACGCGATGCCCCTCCCCCTACCCCACAAGATTTGCTGCTCCATACAATCCAAGTCGGGAGGAGATCTAGAATCTAGACTGTAGCTCGAACATCACAAGTGGGGAATTCGAGCGTTGGGGAGCAGAATGGTCCGAAGTCCCACAAGACAAATGCCCGGAAAAAGCGATTGACACCTTTAGTCAGTGCTGCGCAACTCCTCGTCTTTTAGATCAACAATTGGTAGCGATCGATTGGATGGTCTTGCTCCGATGAGCATGGAGGGTGGAGTTCTCACTCCAGAAGGAGTGACTTGACGTCGTCGCCTCGGATCCGAGGAGGATAGACTGAGTCTTATGAGTCATGCACCGATTCTTTGACTGACCGTGACTCTTCCGATACTCGTAGCATATAGCTGTGAAGAAAGTGGTTTATTGTTTCAGGCATTGTGAAAATCCGTCAAGTAAAGTCAGACGTAGATTATGAAATCATCGCATAAACCTTCGTTTCACGTCAGTTCGCCGCAAGGGTGAGGAGCTGTAGATGGTCTCCAGAAGAAGAAAATTGCCCGCCCCCCTCCGCCCGAAAGAATCCTGGAAACGCTACTGGGTATAGTCATACGCGGCCAAGTGCGGGGATTAAGCCATGCCTCGTTCCGAAATCAAAATCATCAAAGGTAGACGAATGCATGTACGGGTTTCCTCTATGCCAGACATTCCTCTCCCGCTCTCTGCCTCGATACTCCTCCATCGAGCCCGATACACCCCTCGAGCGTTGAAGGGAAGATGCACACAATTCGCTTGGCTTTCGAAATTCCCCACCTGTCCGAAAGATAATTGCGGACCCACGGAGCGCCATTTCATGGCTTGTCATTGGGTTTTCTCCGCCTCTCCCGCCGCATTCTAGCGCGAGCCAAGGGCTCTTGAGATCGGCGGGTCCGCGGGAGAACCAGGGAAGTTCCTCAGGAGCGTAGCATCGTTTTGTTTATACGGCGTGTTTCGCCTTCGAATCAATCGAACGCTCCCTTGAACGGAGCCTGACTGAGATACATCAGCGGACACCACTCGTCATGAGATCGTCAAACGACGAAGTTCAAAGTCGGCTCGGAGCAACTTATGAACATGCGAATATTTCCGTATTGGAGCGTACCGTCCGGTCACGCAGAAACTCGATATCTACCCTCGATCCCGTCCACGCATCCTTGATAATTGTATTAGTGGCCTCCCTCTGGCTCTTCGTCATGATCCAAGCTCAGGTCGGCAACTTCCGATGCGAAGACCTGAGGGAAAGTTTCTGTAGAATGTACGCACGGTCAATTCCTTCGCCGAAATGTTCAGTATACGAGTTGGACTTCCTTGCAAGATGGAGATTCACCAAAGGCGGAGTATTGCCTTACGATGACGTAGAGATCCCAGTCGACTTGCCGGAAGCGGCAGAGGAAGTCACGGCTTTTTTTCTAATTCATGCGAAGAGAGCCACATTCGCGCAGATTGTTACGAAGATCGGAAGAGTCCCCGAGAAATCAAAAGTCTTCGTCTCGAGCCGGACAGAAGGTTTTGAATATCCTCAGCCCCATCCGGATACCTTCAGAATGGAAGCGTCCGCTCGATATCGAGACATCATTGCAGAGAAAAGAGCGTTCAACCATTCGGGGGGCGTTTATGACATTCCCTCGAAAACCAGCGCAGTCACAGTCACCGTCCGATTCAGGCGAATATTCGGCAATTATACACAGATGGTTTGCCTCAGAAAGATATGCTCCGTTCTACCATCATTTCTAGGACTGCACATCTGGACGTGGGATAACCTCCCCAGTATCAGATGGACTGTCGATATACAGAGCTCAGACTCCGAGATGAGTTGTCCCCCGCCCACGGTCTCAGCCAACACTTCTCTGGAATGTGGAATCATCAGTGAGCTTACCCGTCATAACCCCCCGTAGGTCGTACGCTTCATCTGAATTCCTATCGATTTCTCAAACCGAGTTCTTCTCCCTCCGCCATACCCAATGCACGACTTCCTGTTCGACGCGGGAGTCTGACGCCGGATTGTGAGTTCTGCATTCAGGTCCCGTTATGAGAAACGAATAAAGACTCGATTTCTAGTATCTCTCTTCTATCCTTCACGATCCAAGACCTGACTCTCGAGGAGCGCTCCACTGCAAGAAGAACCGAGACAGGAGATACGGAACTCAAGTGCTGGAGCTGGGTCGGCCTCGGCTCCGGGAATCTACTCTGGGACCCACCCGGAGAGGATGCAGCCCAAGGGCTTGCCGGAACTGTACCAACTTCGATTTTCGACGTGAATAGGCGGCTGTCGAATGTCATCGGTCTTCCAGACGTCGGCCTCGTAGCGTCCTAGGGATTGGGGCAAATCCCCCGACGTGCTGACCGTCCCAACAGCTCGAGTCTCGGTTGCTGTGCCTCGAGAAAGGCCACACTAGGACTGAAAACACCCGCAGGGTATTGGGGTCGACAAGTGTGTTGTCGAGAGATGATGGAGAGCTCAGAGCACCGCTCACGGATGTCTACAGAGCTACCCCATGGACCCTAAGATAGCCCACCAGACAAGATCGGTTCGCCTTAATGGAGATTTCCAGCACGTCCCGCGAAATCAGTTTCAATTCGTGCAGTCTGGGATTCATCCCGCACGAAAACAGGAAGGAAGACTTTCTCCTGCTATGAACGAACACAGATATATATATATATAAATATATAGATACATAGACATATATCCAAATAATCCCGAAGTCCCGAATACTTGGCAAATTAGGTAATTCTTGTATATACATATATGTGTACAATAGATTTTTTCAATAATCATCCTTGAGAACGTCCATTAGGGACATATTAGTAAGGGCCTTCGTACCCCTGGGAAGAAAAGTCACCGTCGATCCTGAAGGGAGAGATTCTGGCTCGGGCAGCGAGACCGTGGGTACGTCGCGTCATCCCGGGATGAGCGATGGGAAGAGTTGTCCTCTGACGCTCAAAGCTCCCAAATTCTCGACCCTGTACCCTGGTCATCGTCGTGATTCGAATAATGCAATTTTCAAGGAGGGTCTGAATAGGGTAGAGCCCTGTCTCCTTCTGCGTCGCCGTATTCCCGATGAGCTAAACGGAAGTTGTGAAGCCTCCGTTTCCGGCGGGCAACCCCGTCGACTACGTCTAAGTCCACGCAGGGATTCCTCTCAACTCCATCGCCAACACCGACCTCGTGATTGAAACAATGTATAAGTTGGGCTCACAGGATGCATGGACGGAGCATCTACGGGGAACGGAACGAATATTCGATTACTTTTCATTTCTCCGACGCTCTTGTTACGATTCGGGAGCGGGTTTCCGGGATGTCCCCCGATCCTTCACGGAAAATAATAATCCCAGTAGATCTTGTAGTTCATCGACAGCGGATGGGAATGACTTCTTCCTTTGGAATCTTAGATAAGAAATAAGACGCGCTACTCGACGGATTACTTGACCGAGTAGATCTTCGAAGCTATCCTCCTCCCTTATAGATGACGATGTTGTTCCGCACTTGGTTTCATGCCTCTCCTGCACGCTTCAGCCGGTCGGCGGACTGGTTGATTTTTTAGGCGGCCGATCGACCGTTCGCTCGCTTGTTCCGTTCGATGGCTCCGTGAAGTGTCGATAAGAGGAGGCCAAATTGTTATTAAACGCCCATTAAGATTCCTTTTCTCTTCCTTTCGCTGTGCACTTTTCCTCTTCTTCGTTTTTCTCGACTCGAACTGGCGTTTAGGGGCCTACATCAAATTACACCGCTTCTTGTTGGCTGCCGCTGCTGCTCAAGGCATCATCGTTAGCATAGATTCACACTTCGATGAGGTGCTGTAGAGGCCGCGGCTTCAACAGCCCCCATGAGTTGATGGGTGGAGATTCTCGCTCATAGCAGTAATCATCATCAATGGCAGCGGCGGCGGTGGCGTCGACGACGACGTTGACTACACCATGATCTCACCAGCTCTGACTTGGACCTGAACCGTGCACGCATTCGTTAGGTAAGCGTTCGATGATAGAAAAGGCGTGAAACCCTTACGGAGCGGG